GTGAATCTGGCTGCGATCACACTCAGATACGGGGAACGTCGAGTGAATATGCCTTGAGGGAGGGGGAGGACGGGAGGTTGTAGAAAGGAGAAAAAAGACGTGTGATGTGCTCAACATAATCAAAATATGAATGCCGGCGATTGAACAGAGAGAGAGCAGAAGGATGGACGGGTAGTACTGCGACCTTTTAAAAATTAAAAAATTAAAATAAAAAAAACGACCTTTTTTCGGAACTCCTCTGTTTTGCAACGGTTTGTAAAAAAAAAGGATCTACTGAGTGACAAGAAGATAGGATAAGTCGAGAAATACTATCCGATAAGGACCGCCAGTTCAAGAGAGGGCGATTTCAAAACAACATAAAAGAGGGCGATTTCTTTTTTCTTTTTTTTTTTTTTTTTTTTTTTTTTAAGGCGATTCCCTGAAAGACGGAGATAGACAGTGCTCTCTCTCTGCACAGGCCCAATCTGTTTTATTTGTCCTTACCGTCTTCCACCGAACACGACGCACCCCCTCATTTTGGCTGTACCAGGATGGAAATAAAACTCCTATATGTTCATTTTCAGGGTGCGTTGCGTTATGTTCGGGGGAAGACGGTAGACACATTCTCCTTGCAACGTATTTACCGTATTTTATGTGTTAAACCACCAATACTTGGCCCAGCTATCGGCCGCCGAAAAAAATAGAGTAGAAACGTTTCTAGTCGGATGAATTTGGTCGCTCCTGTAGTGGTCCGTACGTTTCCTAAAATCGTGGCTTGTTAACGGGCACGACTTCAGGAAATACTGGTGGTTTAAACCCACGACTAGGCGACCCCTTGTCGGAAATTTTGAGATGCGTTCGGTTTTTTTTTTTTAAAGGTCCGGCTTTTTTCTTTTAAGGTTCGGCTTTTTTTTAAATAAGGTTCGGCTTTTTTTTAAAATAAGGCTCGGCAATTTAAGGTCCACCAAAGTGGTGCTTTTAATTATTCGGGTACAAAAATACAAACTCAAATAGGAATAATTAATAGCACCAGTTCGGTGCAAGCGCCCCATTTTTTTTTCCTGTTTGCGCAAGGACCCGTGGCAATGTAAAAACGTTACTAGTAATTAATTATGTGTTAATTACTAGTAACGTTTTCCCTATTGAATACACACTCAAATACACACTCAAAAGTGTGCAAGCGCCCCGAACTTATGCCTTCATTCATTCCTATTGCACAAGGGAACGCGCTAGGTAGAGAACCATACTTCAGCGCCCTCCCCCTTTTCTTTATAATAATCGGCGGGACGGGCTAGGTAGAGAAACATACTTTAGCGCCTTCCCCCTTTTTCTATAATGATCTGCGCCTATTTTACTTTCAAACTTGAAAACAAAAAAAAAACATCTGGCATGTCAGATAGCCGACGTCAACCTGAAAAGAGGCTCTAGTTGAGGGGGACGTTGTTATCACGCCCACAATAGCTAACCCGACTGACGTTAAAAAAAAAACAAAAAAAAAACGCACAGAGGCTGATTGTTTTTTTTCCCGTCAGCACCACGGGGAACGAATAGCGCGCTATGTTCTAAAATATGACGTGCAAATTGGTAACACAACATGCGCTTGACAGTTAACGCACTCGTAACGATAGTTATAGTTAACGCGCTCATAACGAAAGTTAACACACTCGTAACGAGAGTTAATGCACTCCTAAAAACGCACTCGTAACCAGAGTTAACGCGAGTTAAAGCGAGTTAACGAGAGTTGACGAGAGTTAACGCGAATTAACGCGAGTTAACGAGAGTTAACGCGAGTTAACGAGAGTTAACGAGAGTTAACGAGAGTTAACGGACTCGTAACGAGAGTTAACGAAAGTTAACGAGAGTTTTCATGCGAGTTCATGAGAGTTTCACGACAGTTAACCTGCCGCTCATGGTCACGTAATAGCGACGAATAATTCATCACCTTGCACTCGAAAGTGAAACTAGAGTACACGCATTTGTCACCTTCTATTTTAAGAAAACTCACTCGGACAAGTTCTATACATCCAGAAATAGTTTCGCTCCGTACGGACGACCAATCTTAATTTCCTTTTCCTTTTTTTTATTTTTCTTTTCTCAATTTCTTTTTCTTTTTTTTATTTCTCTTTTCTCAATTTCTTTTTCTTTTCTTCCCTTTTAGATAATAATAATAATAACGACCAATCTACCTCTCCAAATCACATAAAATGAAGATTTAGATGGACAAAATCTGCGAGGCCCCACATCTCCGGGCGAACCCCCACGTTTAGTATTTCCCCTTCTTGGTTTTTATCTTTTTCTTAAGGGGCGACTGCCTTGAGATATGACCATTTTCAAACTGACTGGTCCCAGGTAATTCAGAATTACTCTACTGTGTTCATCTGGTTGCATCTGGATTCGAACTCGGGTCTGTATGTCAAACAGTTCATGGAGTCCTACCAGCTGAGAGCTAACGGGTAGGCCCGTTGGGTTTTCTTTTTTTCTTTTATTTTTTTGTGACCCGATGGACCACGGACCCGATATTAAACTGAGGATCAGATATTAAACTGATCAGAACAGATACTACACTTGATCTATTTTTAGACAAAAGGCCGAGAAACGTATTGGGTCCGTTGGTTCCACTTCCATTATTTTGCTAATTTGCTATTGTTATTTCGATTCCTTAGTTCTTAAAATCATGTTATGTTCTTTACTTCATTATTCCCATTACTTAATAAAGTTCACTTTCGTTCTTTTTTTCTATCGATTCCTCGATTTCTTATTTCGTACTCCAGTACTACATCGCTATTGCTATTACTTTTATTTTTACACTTCGGGCATTTCCACTTCGATATACGATCATTATCGCTGCATCTGGACTGCAAGTTGTCCCAAATGCAGCTACAATGGCCAGCGTTCTATTCGAGTGCCGACGGTGGGACCTGACAATTTCGGTTCAGAAAACACTACACCAAATTCTGAATTACCTAGGGCCGGTCAGTTCAATGATCAGATCTCAAGCCCTTCACCCTTTTTCAAAACAAAGAAACAAACAAACAAACCAAAAAAAAAAAAAAAAAAAAAAAAAAAAAAAAAAAAAAAAAA